TTAGTGCTAATAGCTTTTCTGAATTAAAAATATTATTTCAACATTTTCATGCATAAAGAACAAGCTATTAAAGTTCAACAGATCAACAAAATTGCAACATTAAACAGAGTAAAGCTTAAATTTCAAAAAAAAAACTTTAAAATTCAAGATTAATCAAGTTACAGCTTGTTGAAAAGTTTGACAAACAAAAGTTTATTTAGAAGGAACTTTTTACACACTTTTCCTCGTGTCTTCTGAAACATCCACTTCTATATTAGGAATTCATTCAAATAAAGGAAAATGAGATGATGATGATATTTGATTATGGTAATTGAATCCAAAGTGGAATTAAGATCAAGACATTCTGTACAAATTGAAGATACAGTGATTCACTTTGTTAATTCTTCAAAAATATAAATCCTCCATTCTTTCGATCCGTAAAAATTGCGCGAATCTTTAATCATCTCAAGAACATAAAAAGAAAGTTTCTCGTGAGATATTTTGGTCTTGAAATATAAAGAAGACAATTCAGTGAATTAAAAAGAGATTTTTGAATTAATTAGATACTTAATTTAATATTTCTATTTATTTACCATATTTGAAGTAAAGTTGCTGATGAAGGAACAAGAATCATCAAAAAAAGAATGAAATTACGGCTTAATTAAATTATTATGCTACGTTTCCTACAATGTTCAAAACAGGAGGACAAAGAAGACTATATAAGACTTACAGTACAATGTTTTCATTAAGACCATTTAAGAATTTCATTACGTAAAATGACAACAAATTGATGGCTGGTCGAGTTATTTCTCATAATAAACCTTTAACCTTCCAATTTGTATTTTTAATGTAATTAATTACCTTTAAAATTGATGTCAATGGTAAAATTATTATTGACATTACATTGTGGATATACTGCTCAAGTCTTTTAGATGTTGTCAATGCTTATGGCAATATTATTCAATTTGTCACTTTTATATTGTCCATTTAGATGATATATACTTGTAACTACTATAATAATGTTGGTTGTTGCTTTATTTCAATGACTAAGTTCTAATTGAATAAGGTTTTTCTTGTTATGTTCAATAAAATTGCAGAAAAGTTTTAAATTATAATTAATTTACAACAATTTTATAATATTAAGAGTTTATCAAGGATTTGCGCCATTTTCAGCATCGAAATTTAAAACGTTTTTTTTTTTTCAAGTTCTAGAAATACGACTGACTTTTCAAATATTGATATCGTCTCAATATCAATTGTTATAGCTTTACTAAGAACAATTCACTAATTATGCCACTAAATTAGTAGTTTAGATTCAATTCATTGCAATTGATTAATTTCTTCGAAATCAGAGGACTCAATAGACCACAATATAACCAATTATCAAATGACAAAAGGATATATTAAGGAACAGATCGAATGTGCCATTAATGATAATTAATATTTAGCAATCAAACTCACCGATAAAGGAAATTAATAGCCTAATTCCTGCAACCTGTATGAATAACAAGAACTTATACGATTGATTGAAATATTATAGCCATTGGCAATTATTTTTGCAATATTTCATCAACACTTGTTGATAATACTCAAAAATAGCTCAAATCGATTGCAATCTTGAAACACTTTGAAATGAAAATAAAAAATCAATGATTTTTCCTCTCTGTCACTTTTTTTTTTGCTGAGCTTGTTATGATGACTATATATATTGGACAATATACTATACAAATATATTGCGTTAACATTTAATTGAATCAAAATATTTGGATACATTTTTATTTGCGATCCATATGAGTAGCACTCAATAGGTTTTGATGGGGAAATAAAAATGAAACATATTTGGAGATTTAACAGAAAAAATGTCATTTAAAAAATATGATTTTCAGTCATTTAAACTACAACCTAACCAAGATTTTTCTTGAGATTATAGTTCAACACTCGGTTACGTATTGACTATCATTTGTGAACAACTTTTAAATAAAAGCTAGTTTTTTAATTTTTAAAGACTAAATGGAGAGACAACTATGGAAAACATTCTTTGATAAATTGAATTTTGAAGTTTGACTATCAATTATTTAAATCCATTCAATCAAACGAAATCTCGATAAAAATGAACTCAAGAACTGAAGAAAAATCAGACTAGGGATAAAAAAGCACATTGTTCTAAGAATAAATCACAAAATTCTATTTTAGACTCAATTTCCTGTGGGTACAAAATCTGAGTTATTTTTATACAAAGATTTTCTTGCTTTATTCTTTCAACATCCTTTTCATTCATAATATTTAAATTTCTTAGAGAATATCTTAACGTAAATGCACAAAAAAATCATATGTAGATAAAAAGCATCGATATATCTAAGCTGAAAAAGTAATTTTCCCTTTATTTATGTATTTTCGCGTATACACAATCCAAAAAGCGGCCATAACCCGAGGCTATGCATAACAAATTTAATGGAGGGAAAACAGTGGGAAAGGAAATCGATAAACTTTTGTTTTGAGTGATGAGAACGATTGCGGTAAATGAAATTTTCCAGTACACAAAAGATACTTAATTGAGGCAAATTATGGCTTAGATTAAGCGTTAATTTATGATGGTCTCAGCCTTTTTTGTTGTTCCACCTCAACAACACTCATTCATGTGTCTCTTGAATGTAAATCATGCCAACGTTTGTTTTTCATTTGACATAGGATATTAATTGCCGTGAAAAATCCTTTAAATCTCAGCTTATCACTGCATTATAAAATGAAAATAATAGAATTGAAAGGATTTTTATGCAGAACACGAGAAATGTAAACATTTAATTGATATCAGACAGTTGACGATGATTCTGCTTTAGACAGATGTACAATAGTGGTAACAAGTTTTATAGAGCAATTATTGAGGTAGATGTTGAATGTAAATGCGATGTTTTATTCATAAATCAATTCTAAATTGGAGTTTTATCGAGAAAAAAATTTCATATTCAATCTTGTCAACTTTTGTAGTTTAATTCAAAGCAGTTCGTAAGTTATGCTGATTAAATGCAGTTCAAATGATGAGTTGGTTATAAAAGTTTGTGTCTAATAATTAAGTTAAAGTATTTTTGATGATTTTCCTTTACTAGAAAAGAAAATCATTGATCAAAATAATATTGAGGGGCTTTTAACTATTCTAAAACTCCAAAATTTAAATATTATTTACCGTTAAATTGTTAATTACATATATTTGACTTCAGCTTAAAATATAATCTTTTCTTTATCCCTAAATGATTAAAAGATAAGTTATATCCTTTGAGATTACTTCAAGCATCGAAATAAAGCAATGAATGTTTTAATTTCCAATTACAAAAGAAACTAGAATGATTCTTACGATTCAAATTCCCTTAAGATTAACTTTTAAGGTTGAAAGACCGTGTCTCGAAATGAAATACGCAGAAAGGTCCCAAAGGTTATCAAATTTCGGTTTTGAATCACTTGAAATCGTAATAAATAACCTTCACGCCAGATGCGTGCCGTAATGATTAAATGACTGACAATATAATGTCAAAATGCTTCACGATTTAATTTATTATGCGACTGATTTTTCATGATCCTGACTTTATTTGAGAGTTTATGTTTGTCTTTTTAATTGTCTACGGATTTATGTTCTTATATGTGTCTATGTGTGCTTTTGTTATTATCCTTAAATTATAACAGTCTCCTCGTTCTGTTTTAAAAATATCCGTTTCAACTTCCACAAAATTCTCATAAATTATTTATGCTCCTTTGTGGTATGCAATCTGTTGCTCCTATGTACGTATATGCAACCAGGAATTTTACTTTTTAAGATAAACAAAAATAAAATTGAAAGAGGAGGAATGCAAAAATGTAAGCGACATTAAGTAACATTGCTTGATACAATTGTTGGAACAAGTCCAACATTCTGTTGAATGTAGAGTTTGAAAACCGGTTGAATGTGCTGTGGTTGAAGATAGAAAACATGAACTTGGACATTATTTAATCAATAATAATTTAAAAGTTTTCTAAAAATCTTCCTGCTGATAGATATTTATTGTAGATATTTTTAGCTCAAATTACATTATTAGAAGTAAAGTTTGATTGAATTAAGGAACTTTATCATGTATGTGGTATAAATATAAAAATAGTCTGAATGTGATTCATTAAACTATTGGGGTCTGTAGCTCAAATGGTAGAGCGCTCGCTTAGCATGTGAGAGGTACCGGGATCGATACCCGGCAGATCCACTCTTTTTTTGCATCTTTTTTACTTTTTTGATGAATTTGATGATTTTTGAGTTTTATAGTCAATATCGATGAATTGGGATTATATTCTTATATAAAAGCTTCAATTTCACACTCTACGTTGATTTATCTTATCAAGATTTATTTGTTCTTATCCTTTTTAAGCTTATTCTCAACTTAAGCTTTTGATAAAATTTAAATTTTAACGAAAAAATTGCTAAAAAGTAAAAAATCTTCGCAAAATCCTGAAAGTTTGTCATAAATTTCCCCGTTGTTTATTTTAAACAGAAGACTTCGTTAATTCGACAAGAATATGAAGAATTTCACATCCTCAAATCTTCATTGAAGTTTTTCATTCACATTCTGAATATGCAGCACAAACTCAGCCACGAGAGTACGGGAAAAAAATTGTTGAAAACCATTTATTTTTATTTCAGTTGACTTTTTAATGTTTCGCGTCTTAATGAGATTCGTCGTTGCTGATATTGTTGTTGGTGCTATGTCATATCAGCTCATAAAAAAAGGTTTCAGCCAAACATTAATTATCATCGCATAAATGATGAGCTAAAAGATTTTTGTTGTGACGTCATGGAATTGAAATTTGAGGCTTAATTGTCACATTTCTGTTGAGCAGGCTATACCAAGAATTTGGATGATATAGAATCATAATTGACTTTTGGAATTTAATATTAAATAAAATTTGGGAGATTTTTACCTGTCAATTCTGCTTAAATGACCTTTAACCATCACATCCTCTAAAGATACATGTCTACAACATAATTTTCTTTTCTCACAATTCACAGCATAATCATCGCCTTACAACAATCATCAAATAAAGAAAAATGTCAGCAATGAAGGAGCTCATATTTATAACATTAATGTTCGTAGCTTCAATCCAATGTGTAGCAATCAAAAGTGAGCAATCACATGGCGAGCATGGAAAAGGCAAAGCTGGATCTCATTTGGGATTTTTCGTAAGTTGTTCACATGTCATGTACATTTAGGATATACTTTAAAAATAATATTCATGAATATTCTCTAAAATATTTAAAAGGGTTCACGCGGTAAGCGGAGCGTAAACACAGATCTACCATCATCCCTTCAGCCGATGGAAGCAAACGGACATGAGGATGATAATTTGAGAGAATGGCCTGCATTACGTGAGTCTTTATATAATTTCGAGCGAAGTATTCGAGCACCAAAAGGATTTTTTGCATTGCGTGGCAAGAAGGATTTCCTTAACGAAGAGAAAAGAGCACTTTTGGGAGTTCAACAGGTTGTGTGATGTGTAAAAAGGCTGATATATCCCATATTAACATGTCTGTTCTTATTATTATTACAGAACTTTAATGGACTTCGTGATAGACCAAGATTCACTGAAGCTCAAATGGATGAAGACGAATTCCAGCCATTTAATCCAAAACGAGCACCAATGCAGGCATTTTATGGAGTACGAGGCAAGAAGTTTGGAGATTACGATTTGAGTGGAAGTTTCAATGAGAAGCGTGCACCAAAAGGATTCCTTGGAATGCGTGGAAAGAAGAGTGGAGACAATATAGACGAGGAGATTGTTGATGAGCAGCAACTACAACCATTTGACTATAATAGCCTCTATGAAAATAAACGAGTACCGAGTGGCTTTATGGGCGTGCGAGGCAAAAAGGATTCTTAAATTAGTATGGCTTAAAAAATCAATTATTGTTAAACTTATTCTGCATTCTGCGCTTACTTCAAACCTTCTCAATGAAAACTGTCAATGATAAATGTAAGATAATTGATGTATATAAATCAGTATGATGTTCAATCTTCCCCAAAAATTAAAAATTAATAATTAAATAACTAATGAGATTCTGTATTTTCATCAATAAGGATAAGAAGATTTTTGTGACTTATAAAAAAAAAATGTTAATCGATGCGGATAGAATGAGAGAAATTTATTTTAATGGGAGCAATTATTAGTGTACCTATATGATTATATTAATGTCAATTATTTGAACAAATGCTTTATTTTGCTTTATCCATTTCTACTGTAAGCCAATGTTCATGCATTTTCTCATTATAAAAATTTCATCGGTTAAATTTTGAATTTTTGGAACGTATTTAAAAATACGTAAGCCGCAAACGTACGTAATTTGAAACGTGAAATTTGTGAAAAATTTGTCAAACAATTGACTTAAAAACTTACTTAAATTTCATTATAAAGTGGCTGGTGATTTAAACTAATGCAATGAATAGTCTAGATTTATTGCATGAAAATAAAAATGACGAATTTTAAATTGAATTACGTCAATTTTGCAATTTTGTTGCATTTAAAGTTAAGTCAAGACCATATGACAAGAACCATAAAAAAACATTGACTATCCATATCATTTAATGAATATAAAAGTTTATTTTTAAATAATTTGAATTTAAGACGAGGATTTAAACGAAAAAATTTCATTTTCATCCAGCTTACGTCTCACATATCCCAAATCATAACTTACGTAAGCTCATATATGAGAGAATGTATCAACATTGAAGATTCCTTTATTTAAAGAAGAGATAAAAAAAAGCACGCAAATGTGCCATAAAGAGGTATAAAATATAAATAATATTATCATCATTCAGGGAGAATTCATTAAAACAATGGAAATCAAAAGAGACATAAAAAATGAAAGGGATTATAGCATGGCTGGCTCAACAAAGTCATTTCATCTAAAGTAAATATTTCAGTCTAAATTACTATGCAAATGTATGTACTGTGCATGATGGTTTAAAAACAAATGTATTACACTTATACTGACACACACGGAATAAAGGCTTCTCTTAGGGGGAGAACTAGAATTTTGTTCATTTTCTCTCCAGCACATACATATACATGAGTCAATATTTATCTACAATTATGATTATAAAATTATATATGATGTTACTTTTTCCATATACTGTATAATCATTTCAATTGGACATAAAAAAATTGAAAAAAAAGATTTAAAAAATGCAGAGAAATTCAAGTAAAATAAAATAAAAAATAATTTGAGGAAAATGAAATTAAAAGTCTTTTGTGAATTTTCAAAACTAATCCTTTAATTTCAGATAATTTCTAATCTAGTTAAGAAGATTAAAAATTACATTAATTTGAAAACTTTTCTTTGATGTGCAGGTTTTATGGCTTTAGAATCTTTTTGGATGAGGAAACTTGAAAACGAATCCCGTGTTAAGCTTCTTCTGCATACCTTTTGTATACTTAACATAAAAACTTAATTTGAACGAGAATTTTTATGCTTTGTGCCTCATTATGACTTCATATCATGAATAAAAAGTTTCAGAATCACATCCGAATGTTTATTGTTGGTAGACGGTTTGCTTTATCCCAAAATATCAAGGGGAGAGTTATTTCTAAGTGATGTCATAAGAGATCGAACTCAAAGAAGTGAGTTTCGTAAGTGAGTTATGAGAATCGACAAACTTGTCACAGGAGAAATAAGTAGAAACATTCCGGATTTAACGTTCATCAGATATCAATTGGACTTCCCCTTTAGAGGATGGTTAACCTTTTTATTTGAATCATAGCTTGATTTAAACAGATATGTAGGAAGATGTAAGCTTTGAGCAAAACCAATTAACAGCTTCAATATTTGGCAACAATTGATCAACCCATTGTTTAAATAGTCAAATCAAGCACCGCCTATGTTTCCGATTCATTGCCTTAAGATATATAGCGTGTGAAATTCTTGAATTGATGAATAAACATATCTAGTGTGATAATCAACCCACTCGTCTCATTATTGCCAAATTAATGAGTTTTTCCAAGATTGAATCTCGTCAATTTTCTCAAATATTTAAATTGATCCTCTTAAAAAATTTTTAACGAACGTTCAGCACAACTGTTGCATTTATGCTCGCTGAAATGGAAACATTAAAATCAAATTAGTTTAGGGGCTGTTCACTTATTACGTAACGCGAAAAAATGACTTTTTAGACCCCCCCCCCCCTCGTAACAAAATTTGTATGAAAAAAAAATTTCCTTGTTTGAACCGTAACAAAATCTTAGACCCCCCTCCCCCCCTAAAAGCGTTACGTAATAAGTGAATGGCCCCTTACCAATTAAGCAAATTTCTCTCAATTACTTTCATCAGGTTAAAATCTGACTGATTGAACTGCATTTTTTTCACTTATCGATATTGGATGAATAATTGATTAATTTTTCCACCACAGTAGTCATTGAACAATTTTATCTATAATTAACTTGTAATTTTGTTTGAATAGAGGTTTTTTAAACAATATATTAAATTCGATTGTAATGAAATTAAGGACTATAAAGTAATGGTTTGCTTTTGAATTGATTAATTGATATTATTGAAACGGATTGCATTTATTTTAATGAACAAAATTTAAAAGGTTTTTTGAATGATTTGTAATTTTTAAATGATATTAAATGTTTAAAGTATTAGGAATTCTAATGTTAATTATTAATGATAAATCAAAGTTTAAAAAGCAAAAAACAAAGAGAAATGCGAAATGCGAAATTTTATTAATATAGATGTAAGGTTTCGAAACTTTGACATTCAAATTTTTGACATTTTTGACTTTCAATGTCTGCCAATTGACCACTAAGGTCCTTATTAAACTTCGACTATTGATGAATTTTCGTCAATTAAAAGTCGGTTGAGAATTGTCATATTTTGTTAAGAGATTCGTTTTCAAATAAGATTTATTTTGGCAATTTTAAAATTGCAAGCTTGCAAAATAATTTTAATAAATTTTTTAATTACAGATTCTCGCATTTTGTGGTTGCTTTGTTTAAAAAGTAAAATGTTTATTTCTACATAAAATATTTACTTTACTCTTTCATTTGATATTTATATCTTCTGAACTGTCTAATTATCTCAAAATAACTTTTCAGCTACTTCAAGCAGAAAAGCTTTGGGATTAAATTTAGATTATTTGTTTATTCTTGTTCATAAAAATGCATTCCTCAAATTACAGAATTCTACATGACTGTACCCGATTGTACAATTCAAAAGATTAAAAAGCATAGAAAGAAATTTCAACTTTTAAATTCAATTTCGTAATCTAAAATTAATCCAGATTATAAACATTCAAAACACAATTAATCAGCCCACAATGATGAAATTACTTTATAAATTTCACATATTTCACAATCTAAAAATAAGTCCAAAGATCATATTTCATTCATTGATAAATTCTTAAATATACTACAAAGCATAACAATATCATCGATTGACTGACTGGATTTATTTTTATAACAATCCCACGTTTAAACATCTGCCGAAAATGCGAATAATGAAATTTTTGCGATAAAGGAAATAGATTTACATTCAACATCGTGTTCACTCATGTCGCGACATGAGGCATGAGCGACTAAACATAAATCTCTTGACTCTTTTTTTTCAATCGACAAACAAAAATAAAATGTGAATTTGGAGGCAAGAATTATGAAATAGCGAGTGAAGGAGAGCTTGTGAGAGTTTAAATGATTGAACGCATTGAATGAACAGGTGGAACTTTGGTTAAAATTATATTTTAGTATCAAACCTGATTACTAATTTGAAACTTTTATAGATTTCAAATATTATTATCTTGTTATTGACCTTTACATATCCTGAAGTATTTTAGATAATTCATCTAATTTATTTACTGGATCTTTAATTTATGGATAACAATAAAACTTTGCGACACAAACCAAGCAGGATTTCGCGAATCTTATTAGTTCCGGAAGTTCAAAATTCAACTCTTTTTGTGTGTCTGTTCAACAAATAATCTAATCGATCAGTTTACAAACAATTTTTTGAGAGCTCCTCCAAAAATCCTCCGGTCTCTCAACTAAAAACGAGTAATCCAAATGTAAACAGAGAGTAGACATCAACATGACTCATGATTTTGATAACAAAACTTAATTAAACGATTATTTTTTGACATTTTAACATCATTGAGCTTATTATCAAAAAGTACACATTTTATGCTCTGTACTATTATTAATCTTATCGTGTGGATAAATGGGCGACTTATCAAATCAACATCCCATTACCAATATTAATGAAATTAAAGTAATTTTTTGAATAATCCAGTGCAATAAAATAAAATTTTATCATAACTTAATTTAGAGATTATTATGCAAAAAATTATGTTGTAAATTTTGCGATTGGTTCTTTCTAGTCATGACGTCAATACATTAATGACTAGAGATGACGTTTGATGATTGCTCTTATTGGATCAGATGATGTGACATGAGCAACAATCGCATGCTTGTTGAAATCTTGTTGCTGTCTGGAATATTTTCTGTAATCAGACTGAACGGAAACTTTTCTGGAATTTTGTATGTAGCATGATTGACCTAAGGTTATTAAGAAGATGTGAGCATTTACATGTAATCAATGTTTTTGAGATTTGAAGTCAGAGACTCGAAAATGTTGAAAATAATTTTTAGATTGAATCTTTAAAAGTTTTAAACTTATGTTGTTCAAAATTTGAACTTTAGTAGTTCAAAAAACAGAAAACTAGAAAGTTTGAATTATTGAAAGCCGTTAAACATTTAATCGACACTTTTAAGGAAGTACATTCGTTTTTATAGCTGAAACGTGGATTCTTTCAAAGTTTTCAAAGTCATATGAACCTTGTTCCTATAAATAAAACAAAAAAACATATCTTAAGCACTCATTAAACCAAATAATACACTAAATCAGGACAATTCCTTCTTATTTTTAGACTTGTGAACTTCAACGATGTCACCGCCAGCTATTCCATCAACAACAGAGACCACAACAAGAAGAAGACATAGAAACTTAAAAGCCACAAAAGAAAAAAAGAAATGTATTACTCTCAATAGGCGCCACAGCGCATCGTCATCGACAACAAGCAACACGATGAGTAAGCGACAAGCGTAAAGAGAAAGAACTCTTTACCATTTTCATTCATAGCCGAAAAGCTTTCAACTCTGCCTGTGTATAAAACATTTCTTTTCATTCTCGTTCAACGTTAGTTGCAGTTTGAACATTCACGCGATAAAGTGTGCTAGGAATCGAAACAAAAAAAAAGAAGCAAAAATCGAGAATTGAGTGTGTTAAAAATATTAAATTTTATTTTTTAATTTTATTTGAATTTTTTTGAGTTTTTTTTTGTGAGTGAAAAAAAATTTATTTTTGATTTAATTTTCAAAAAAAGAAGTGAGAAAAAATATTTAATTTGTGACTCAAAAAAAGGAACTGAATAATTTTCAAGAGCATTACTAAGGTGAGTGTTTGATGTTTTTTATATTTTTACTAGCACGATCCTCAGCCATGTGTGTGAATCTATGGAAAAATGTGTAAAATACCTGCCTGTTCCGTGATTCCTACAGCTCAAAATAATTTTTCATAAATTTTTTATGGCAGTGAATTTTTCTTTTGCCGTTCCTCATTTTAGTACGTGATGCTTATGACTTGTTGTTCTCTTCGTTTTATTTATTCTTGTCGAATTATTTTGTTTTGAGCTTCAACGTCAGTGATTCTTAAACTTAATAAATTCACGACTCAATTTTGCACAAAAATCTCAATCCTTTGTGGCACTTTTGACACCCAATTTGAGAACCACTGCTCTACGGCACAAGAAGGCTACATATCAGCGTGAGTTGATGCTCACCTGTCGTTGCTTTGTGATGTTCATATGTTGAGGTTGGTTGAAAGGAAGTTTATGAGGGTAAAAAGTACGGAATCTGATTTGATGTTTATGGCAAAAGTGAGGAAGTCTGCATATGATTTTAATTTGAAAAGTTAAATGATTTTGTGTAAATTTTTAGAATTTTCGCGTAATGCTAATTAGTATTTAAGGAATAATGTAATTAAAAATAGAATCCTTTGAAAGAGATTGGATGTGACAGGGGAACTGCTACAAGGTAGTCTGAGTTTTGATACAAAAAGTCTATTTATATTCAATGTAAAGACCTCTGTTAATTCAATCTTGATGACCATAAAATCTCCTAATTTTTAAAGCTTCACAGCAAAAAATTCTTCTTCCCAGTTCCAGTTCCCAAACATTAACTTAACCTCAATCCAAAAACAAACACCAAAAAGCTCTCAATAAATTATTAAAGGCATCATCATGCAGTCATCCCATATTATCGGCCATAATTTTCATCCATCAGTCACCACAATTAATTCTTTCATTTTCTTCATTGTCCAACAAGCCTCCCATGCATCCTTGTTGTCATCTCTTCCACTTTTTATCATTTTCAATTTACACCGACTTGAATGAAATTTAATTATTCATTCACTTGCCATATCCAACGAACGTTCAACGAATGATGAAAAATTGCATTGACAGTGAGTTAAAGGTGACTTGAAATGCCTAAAGGTGATGAAAAGGGAAGATGTGCAAATGGATGTGACTTTAAAATATTTAAAAATTTATTCAATTTTCTTGAGCTGATGTTTGATTTATGCTGTGTTGAGGTATTTCTGTTGGAATGTTTTTTCGGAATTGACGATGCTTTTAGGTGTTTGATTTAAGCTATGGAAGGCTTGAGGATTGACATTTGCGTCCATTTTTATTTGTTTTGAGAGTTTGTAGGCTGAATTTTAATCTGTTTTGAGTTGTAATTCTGATTTGTTACTATGTATGTTGCTGAATTCGACAAACAATGTTTTGAAATAGAACTCTAAGTCTGAATATACAGCACATCCACAATAACACTCATAAATTATCAAGCATGCAAATATTAGTTTAAGAATGTCCTATAAAATGATAATTTTACCAAAATTCATCTAAAGAGGAAAGCTTTATAGCTTCAAACCTTAACCAAAAATTACATTAAAGCCAAAGATCATAATAAACACTTCCAACAGTTTCTAAATTTTAATATTCCTTACTTTTTCTTTTAAACATAAAGCCCATAAATTTCTATTACTTTTCTGCATTACTCTCTTTTTTACATGACTACATCTCCGATATGCAACACGTATGCAGAAAAGGATAAAAAAATTTTTAATAAAAATGTTAAAACTTTAAATGCACCATCAAGGGAACTATAAACACATCAATGAACTTCAGTTTTATGATTTTAATTGAGTTATAAAGCGGTATTTTATGTTGGCGATCGATGGACTTTTGAGATTTAAAATGTTCATGGGGTTGGGAATCAGGATTGCGTTTGGATAAAGGAATTGAGTAGAATTTCCTACGTTAATCGACTAAGAACTTGAACAAAAATTGAATTTTTAAGATTATCAATTTAAAAACTATCAAATTAAGATTTTGCAGCTCTTACATATCAAATTACAGTCTTCACATGAAGAATGACAATAGTAGAGCAGCGATGCATAGGTTCGAGTCCTAAATGTCAGTAAAATAATTAAGATTTGGGGTAAATTGGTGTGATGTTTTTTTTTTTCATTAATTAAATGCGCAGAGGAGAGACACATAATTAGTAAACAGCCAACTTTTAGCCAATCTGGTCATCTGCTCTAACACTCAGTCATACTATTTTCCTTTTTTTAATATCCAGTAAAGTCACATAAACCATTAATTAACCAAAAGACATTCAAAATTAAAGACTCTTCCGAGAATCTCACAAAATCAGTAGCTGACCACCGCTAGATATTAATCCATTAAATTAAATGAAAGAGAAGACTTTTCATCACTGAACGGGTGCGAAAAAAAACACGAAAATTTAATTTTAAAACTTCACTTTTTTATGATAATTAATTAATGCATTGGCATGTCAACTTATTCATTTATATCCTAAAAAGATTAATGAGAAAACAATGTAAAGGCCTTTATTCTTATTTTGCATGTAAAACCGAATCAAATTCATAAGTCACAGGAGAGGACATGATTCCATTTTAAAGCATATATTGTGTAGAGACATTAATGTAAGGATTTCCATATTAAATTAGATTTTACCTAATTATAGTCTTAATAATTATGACATTTAACGTTTAGATATGATGCTGACCTGTCACATGCTTTTTCACTTTTGGGAGAAAATGTTCATCCTTTTCAGTGAAGCAGCACGAATGTCACAAGGTAGCATCTAAATTTCATAGAGCAACATGTGTAAAACTTTAAAGCTCGTATTTAGGTCTCAAATTCTCTAATCTGACATCATTTTACATTGCTTCATTAACATTTTAAATTAGTAAAGGATGAACAAGTTTTAACTTTTGAAGTTGATAAGGGATTGAAATTGGTTTGGTGTAGATTTTCATGGAAATTGAGCATTTGCTGCTCAATGTTTAATTATTAAGTAGGTCAAATAGACTTTAGAGTCAGCTTCACACTTGAAGTCATTAGGTGGAATTCTCAATGAATTTCTATAACTTAGTAAACCTTCCTTAAACCAAGCAATACTAAATTTAAGAAGGGAAACTGGAGTTGATGGGAATCGAACCGTAATTATTGGCACAGAGTAGTTTATGAGCTATGTAAATCCTAGTTTAATATTTAAGAAAAATACAGTCTTTCTACGACTAAGACTATCTTAAATCCAGCCCAACCAGAATAAAAAGGTTCACCTTGAAAAACTGCATCCTCAAGTCCAAGTTAAACTACAACTATCATCAACACCCCCATTTTAAAAAATGGATAGAAAAAAGTGGAAAAAAGTTAATAAAAAATATTACGGTTCAGTTATGTGTGAAAACAAGTGAAAGAGAAACTTTTTTTTGTGTTCAGTGAGAGAAAAAAAATCCGATTAATTTCTTCCTTATTCGTATGCCACCTGTTGTGTGAATTATACTATTCTCTATGCAATTCATTTTATGAAGAAAATTTAAAATTAATTTTCTATTTGCATGTGAAATTATAAGTTGGAAAATTATGTTGGGGATTACTTTTTTGGACTTAAAGATGAATATGTGGGCAAAGAGAAAATAAAAAGGTTAAAAAAGTTGTTATGATATGAGTTAAGGTGCCTCATTAGGTTTTAGGTGCAGTTATCTCAACACTGAATTGCAGAAGAATTAAGTAACTTCACATTATTTTGAAAATATTTCAGGTGAATTTACACTAGCATGCATAATATTCAGGTGTATTCACACTACCTAGAAAATTATTTCAGGTGCATCCCATTAAGTTGTTAATGATTCAGGTGCCACAACACTAGCTTACAAATAATTCAGGTGCCACAACACTAGCTTATATATAAATCAGGTGCCACAACACCAGCTTACAAGTAATTCAGGTGCCATAACACTAGCTTACACATAAATCAGGTACCACAACACTAGCTTACAAACAGTTCAAGTGTCACAACAAAAGCTTATAAATAATTCAGGCTCTTTAACATTAGCTTTAAATAAAATCAGGCGCCTTAACACTAGCTTCCCAATAATTCAGATGCTTCCACACTAGCTTGCAAAAATTAACCTACAAAATTCTAAAATAAACAATAAACTCAATTTATTTAGATGACAAAGCTCTACAAGCCCCCAAAACAACATTAAAATTTCATGAATAAACGATAATTCACAAGAGAATTTGTTTGATTAATTCCGAATGATGAATTAATTTCACATTACTCGACGATCATTAATAAAAACATAAAGCCTTAAGTCACTGTAGATGTACGAGCAAAAAAAAAATTGTTAAATTCACTGTGAATGTTTTACAACGCCAGAATCGTGTCTGCTTTACAGCACAACCATCAATTGGCAATGTTGTTTGATCCTTCATCCGTCTGCATATCAACATCATGAATAAAACATAGTAATTGACCCATAGGGAATTTGTAAACTCATTCATATACACACATGTGTGTATGCGGCTGTTGATAGAAACATGAGCATTTAATTGTCATTCAGTTACAAAATAAAGCATAGATACAGCCTGTGAATGAGGCTAAAAAGTGATGAGTGAAATAAAAATGAGTGTTAGAAATGGGAATGGATGAGTGCTGTTATTGTTTGGATCTGCAATGTGTTTTTAGCAAAATTATTGAGATTGTCTTTAGGGTTTGGATTTTATTTTGTCTTATTTTGGTACCTTTGAACTACTTGCTTGTCTTAAAAGGGATAGTGTTGAACACCATAGCTGTGAAAGTTGATATTGAGTGATTTATTTGAGGAACTGAATCACGGATGTGTAATAAATCATTACATTCAGGTTGCATGATGAATGCTTCTTCAATTACTAGATTGCAATTAAGAACCAGCAGTAGAAACAAATGATTGCTTCCATTTTCCAATCCATAACTCTAATTTGATTCATTCATCAATCTTATAGAATCAAATCCAACATAAATTCCGATAAAAATGCTC